ATTGTATGTTTCTAACTAATTATATGTTCAGATATTTCCAAGTATATTACACAAACTTTTGCATCCTAATTTTTAGTTTTTGGTTAAAAAAATAAGCTTTTATTTATTGAGAGGCCTGATTGATTATATTAATTTGCAGTACTTGTTTATCTAATTCTTTCTTCTAGATAAATTTTAGAAAAACTTCTTAGCATAATAATTTAAATTTATTTACAATTTATACGTCAGTGATCCAAACGCATAGTAATGTTGTTATAATAGATTTCATGCTAAGCTTTTTTTTAAATTTAACTATTAATTTCTGCAAACATTTACATGATTGCTTTAATTAACGAAAAATATTTCTAGCACACTTTAACACACTTTGATATGGAATAATTTTTTGCACTCTATTAAATTTTCCAGTCTAGTTCAGACATCTTGACTATTATTGATGTAATTTATTAAAAATATAATTTGTATGCTTTATAATTATTTAATTTATGATATTATTATCATAAATGAAAGATGTTTGTAATGCTAATATGTATGTTTACCAATACCTTTTATTTTCTTTGTTAGCTCTCGCATTTATTACTGTTATTCAAGTAATTAGCCTGCTTGTTAGATATTTTTTACTTGTTCTTGTGATATGTAATTCTATTTATTTATTTTTATTTTCCTCTTGGCTACAATTGGCTTCGAAAAGTTAAATTGTAACCCTGTAGGCAGCAGGGGGAAGAAATTTTGATTGGCGCAGTTGGACTATAGCTCGACCCGGGGGGATTTTCATTAGCGCAGTTGGAGTACACCCCTAAACTGTATATGAGCTCAGCCGTTGATGGGCCTAAATGCATAAATTAATGGAAAAAGCGCTTGGTAATTACTTCTTTTAAGAGAAGTTTGGTTGACAACATTTAAAGGAAAGTTACTTTCAGCTCACAAATGAAAACATTACGAAAATACCCGGTTTTCTGTTTGTTTTGGCGCCAGGTTATCTCTGCTCGCAACTTTTAATTTTAAAGTTTTATTTCTGAGAAGCTAAATGGTTTATTTTGAAGGGATTATATTTCGAAACTATTTTGTAAGCGGGAATTAACCTAGAAAAATCGCGAACGCATCATAAGCAAACTAAACTCGAGGAACACGTAGAAGCTGAAACACTTTTGCAATTTAGTTTTAGTGTAAAATAAAAGATGCTCATACCTTAACGGATAAGCAGTGCCTAACTTTGGCGACAATTAGATAATTAGTTTTTTTGTATTTCAGAGGGATGTTTTACTACGTTGTAAAAACTGCTGCTTATACGCGTTCTTAAAACTGGCGATGTTGTGTGTTTTCTCTAGCGATTCATTTGGGTTACGGTGCCAAAGTTAGCAACTATTTCCTTCTTTTTGGCGAAATTTTAGCTTTTACTTCGTTAACATACAAATACCAAGTTAACTTTTCACTTTATTTTTTAATTAAAATGTTATAAAACACAATTTTTCAGAATCATATTTATTTGTAGACCTTGTAATTAGTATACCACGAGTTCAGACTAATCACGCTTAGGTTCGGTTTATGAAATTTGAAAATTAAATTATGAGAAAATTTGCAGAAGCCTCCAGGGCTATCTGCCTAAGGAAAGGATGCCCTCGTGGAGAAATTTCTAAGGGCAACTGGCTCCTAAGCACGTTACACATGGGAAAAACCAAGCAAACGCCCATCCATCCAGGCCGTTTTCGAATCTCGGACCGAACTACTATTGTTCAGCGACTTTGCCATTCAGCCGCTCGTGCGTCCAATTATCCTTAGGACTCATGCCGAAAGGCATGCCTTCGAGACTGCGGCGGAAAATTCGCGTTACCTGCATTAAAAATAATTATGGGGGTGCTGGTACTTAGGAAAAGCACCCATACAACCAACCTGTAAGAATTGGAGGCTCCCTTCAGCCCACCTGGACACGAGTGTCCCCATAGCTCAAAAGAAGGGGCCCCGTATCTCTACAAACGAGGGCAGCCAGTAACCGAGCCACCCCCAAACAACAACAAAATACTAAATCAAAAATAAGTAGTACATCTAATACAATACAGACCAACAAACAAAATCCATAAACAAATTCCAATATAGAACCCACAGATATCTAAAACCCTATAAATACAAAATTCAATTTGACAGGAGATTCCTACCAGCGCCCTATTTTCATTGATAAACTTCTTTAGAGCAATAGAATATGATTTAAAAACTGTAAAATTAATTACACTTGCATTAAACTCAGTAATGTTAAAAATCAACCAACCTGTATCATATAGGGCAGGGGTTCGTAACCTTATTCTCCGTCTGGACACATCTGACAAACAGGAAATGCGCAGTAAAAAAAGTATAACGATTCTTAATGTTTCTTTATTTTATTGCAATCATAAGCATCATAAACAATACCCTACATTAAAAAGGTAACAAAAATTCAAAATAGTTGCATTTAATGCAATTTTTGACGTGCACATAGCGGACAGTCGCGGACGCACAAAAATAGCTTGACGGGGTTAAGAACCCGTTATAGTGTGTGTGTATTTAATTATGGCAAAGCACACTAGGGCTATCTGCCTAAGGGGAGGGATGCCTTCGTGGAGGACTTTCTAAGGGAAACCGGCTCGTATACACGTTACACATGAGGAAAACCACGAAAACACCCATGCAGCCAGCCCGTTCGCGGGCTTCGAACCTCGGACTGAACTACCAGTGTTCAGCGACTTTACCGCTCGGCCGCTGGTGGGCCCCGTTATAGTATGCTCTATAGTTTCAATCACAGGTTGATCAATAGACCACTAAAATATCTTGCAATTTTAACTTAACTACAGCATTAGAATCAGTACCGTGTCGGTATTTAATTCAAAGAATTTTAAGAAAATTATTTCTGTTCTGGAACTAGCGGATAAATGTCCATATAGTTCGAGTGGTTTATGGTACACATGGCTTATAGTACGAGTTTTGCTCCGGAATAGTTTTTACTAGTGCCTACGTTTGAGTTACTACTACTGTTATTGTACTAATATAGATTTACTAATATAGACTGCATATGAAACCATTAGGGGGTTTGAATTGGTTTATGTGATTACGACAAACCCTCGATGGCTATCTGCCTAAGGAATGGGTTGCCCTCGTGGAGGACTTTCTAAAGGAAACCGGCTCCTATACACATTACACATGAGGAAAACCACGAAAACGCTCATGCAGCCAACGGTTTCCGGGATTCAAACCTCGCACCGAACTACCAGTGTTCAGTAACTTTACCGCTCGGCCGCTGATGGGCGAAACCATTCGAGTTTCCTTTGATAATATAGATGAAATTTTTTCCCTAACTTACTTAGATCTCTTATTTCAATGTTAGGCTAATGTGTTAAGAAGATAGACCAGATTAAACACGATCATCTTTTCGTCCCCCCTACCGACTATCCAACCTTTTCAAAAGCTTTTCACTCAGGGGCCACCCCCACAAGTTGTAAACAAAGCTCCCCACCACCAGCCTTCAATTTTATGTGCACAGTCAATCTTCTAGAACTACCTACCGGTGTGCTAGCAGAGTACCAACAACTGTGCCAACTCAAAGTGCCTTCGAATGCCTACATCACTTCCAAACCTATGACATGAATGGTTGCACGTAATAATTGCACCGCACGTATACATCATGCACCAACTCCACTATACCTAAGCACTAGTGCACACATCAGTGAAGATCAGTACCTACACCGTACTTGTTCACAGTCATAGTAACTGTGCAAACATTGCGACTGTGTACTGAAATACTGTGCCTAAATAGGTCTGCGCTTGTAGTGACTGTACCACCTATAGCAATTGCATTAAAACTTAGTGACTGTGCCAAACTCCATTTAGTGCTATTAGTACCACAGTGTACACTAAACTTTAGGTAGCCTGACTCTGCAATTTGACTATAGTGCAGACTGTACTTTCAGCGAACTCTAACTCCTGGCACTACGACATCCGGTACTAATAGCTTATCTCTGTGTAAGTGCCACAGACATTTGCAACCCCAAGGAACCAGCAATACACATATGACTTTAAAGTATTAATTACTCTTGTTTTTACTCTGTATCTTACATATGTGTCTCTCTTCATATTTATCTTAATATCAATGCATCCTTATGTTGATCCTGTTAGAATTTGTTTGTTTTTGCCTGGATATGATCTATTTGTATTTGTTTCGTATATTTTTAGTATCTGTGTTATTCCAACGCCATGCACACCCACAAATTATGTCACGCAACCATTGTCAAACAATAATCCTCAGGCCCTGTTTGGTATGTATTGATCTTTAGATTGTATTATAAACTCCCGAGGCAGCCCACGGGGCCCCAGGAGTTTATTCCTAATAGGGGAGGCGCGTGGACACCACGCCTGTTTACCTATGTTAAACACCAGGCGTCCCCGTCCTCCGTCACCTGTCACCTGTGTTAAGAAGATAAGTGTTAATTATACCTTTCTACTACGCACATATGACCGACAGAACTGGTATCAGTAGGTAATTCAGCGAAGTTAAACTTTTTTTAAATATTCTGTGAAATTAGGCGTGAAAAAATCAGTCAAGGAAATTTGGGCGCTACAGGTCTAATAGCTCTGCAGAAACGGCGGACAGACATTTACACGAATGAAAAATAATTGTTCCTAACAGCTTAAGGATATAATTAAGTATGAATTTCAATAATGGAAGTTACAATTTTGGAAATATATACGAGTGAACATTCGCACTATAGTGCTTAAGCATTACGAAATGAAATGACAGCATTTTAAAATCTAATTCAAAATTATTTTGAAACAATACTTAACGTAAATTAAACTCATAAAATGAAATTACGGTATTCTTAAAATCATCACCCGTACAGTACTACTACAGCATTACAGTATTACAAACTCGTACAGCACTACAAAATAAATTTATAACAGTAATTTCAAATCTATTCCAAAATTACTGAGAAGGGATCTTTAACATAGAAGAATAAATATTTAAAATGAAACTGAATTACCTTTTTCCGCAGAAGTACTACATAAGAATTAATACTATTTAATTGGCTCCTTGAGAAGCCGGAACGTACGATTATGTCGGCAAATATCTGCACAACGTGAACGAGAAAAGATTAAATATTTAGTGATGCGCTGCTGAGCCGATTCGCTGCGGGTAAAGTTAAAAAAATTTGCATGTAGTTTGAGAAATTAAAAATAAGTTAATTTAAGTGACAAAATTTGCTAAAGATTTATTTTAATATTAATAATATGCGTGCTTAGAGGAAGTAATTTTAAGCACATTTCAGCATATTTATTTTAGATAGAGACAGATTTCATAGCGCCAGGTATAATCATATATTTTTAGAATATTGTACGCAATTTAATATTTTTTTTTAATATTTTTCATGGAAAGAATTTTAACTATGTTTTGCAATAAAACTGCAGTATATATAAAATATAGTACAATGTTAATATAGGAAAAACAACACTTCAAAAAATTATCGACTAGAAATATTTGTTACTGTAACATATTAAGGGTCGTCCCCACTGGGTTTTATCTGAGCTAACGTAAACTGACGTAGCCGACCCATCTCCAAAACCAGTTTTTCCCATAGGGTAGCAAATTGAAAAATCTGCACTGTATGCATAACGGAGCTAGTCGACACATGGAACTGACTCCTTTAGCTCAGATAAACCCCAGTGGGAACGGCCCTTTAAAGATGGAAATATCATGAAGACATTTTTAATTTCTTAAATTTTTCTGTATGTTTTAGAGAGAACTATTTCTTTTTATCCCAGAGATTTTATTACAGTATCTTAAATGTTAATTGTGCATTAGAATTAATCTAACTTATTTCTGATTGAAAGAATAATACAGGGTGTCCACAAAGTAACAACTTGTTGCTTGGGAATGGAATAACTTCCACTGAAGAGCCAAAACATAATGATCACCGATTCAAAACCGTGCTGATCGATTGTTACATGCAAAATAGCTGCAACTCGCCTTGGAAAGGATGCCACAAGTTCCTGGTGGATGACTAGAGACAGGTTGTACCAAATGTTTACGCGGCGGTCAGTCAAAGTCGAGATTTTCCGACATGGTGGTGTCTGAGTTGCCTTTCCATGACATCCCAAATGCGCTCGATAGGGTTAAGATCCAGGGAGTTAGGTGGTCAAGACACTAATTGAAATTTGTCCATATGCTCCTCGAACCATTCGATCACAATTCGGACTTTGTGACCTGAGGCATTGTCCTGCTGGATGATTCCATTTCCAGTTGAGATGACAGACGTCATGTAAGAGGGGGCAACTGATCCGCAATTATGTTCAGATAGCCTGTAGATTTCTTTGTATGTTCTACCAAAACTAAGGGTCTCAGATTCGTACCCCAAAGAACAATACCACCACTATCAGCCAGCGTATGATCTACTGTACAGGGGGGAGCAACTGTTCGCCTGTAAGACGACGCACCCTGACACGACCATCGAGGTGATTGAATGAGAAATCGTGATTTATCAGACCACGCAACTATCTTCCACTTATCGATGGTCCAGTCTCGATGTTCTCGGGCCCCTTATTAGCGTAGTTGACAATTACGCTTTGCCAGCAGAGGCACACGAGTGGAACGTCTGATGTACAGTCCCATACATAACACTGTCCGGTGAACAGTGTTCCGAAACACTTGCACTTGAACCTGCATTCTATTGGGCTGTTAGCTGAGCCACTGTCTGTCACCGATTTTGCTGTACCATGCGGGATGTTCTCGGACGTTCGTTTTCTTTGATGACGCTTGGACGTCCAACACCTTGGCGTGTACTACCTGTTTTACCGTCATTTAACCGCTTTGCATAAATACTAACAACGGCAGATCGTGAGCAACCTACCAGTCGTGCTGCTTCAGAGATACTCGTTCCGAGTCTTCGAGTCATATCTCCTCTATCAAATCCGCTTAGATCAGCAGTCTCTACCATCACTCCCAAAAGTTAAGTGCAAGAATGATTCTTCGCTGACTGACCGACTGATATGATATGACCGGGTACCACACAAAGTACAGTTTCTCCAGCTCGATGAATGTTTCCCTCATGGGCGCATCACATGAATCAGTCTGCGCATGGCATCCCGGAGGGAACGGAGGAGGTTAGGTAGAACAGGGATAAAGACATCGCGCGATCAACAATCAAGAGCTATCATGGACAGTAAAGTCGAGGTGAATGTATCATCCTAACATGCGAAAGTTCAAAGACAAATGCAATAATTTTATTTTAATATTCAGTACAAGGGAATAGCAAATTAAATATAATACAAATACATAAACAGATAAAAATACAATTTAGGTACAATATTTAGAATATATACAATATGTACAAGATATTGCACGTCCTGGGAGTCAAGTAGGGAAATTCGAGTCATTTGTGAGGTGGGCCGCAAGAGATCTTTTGTCACTATCTTCGTCCAAAATAATATAATTTATTGAGATTTGAGAGGTGCGAGCATTTAACTGCTTTGTCAAAGAAGGTTTTATTTAAGCTGTGCAGATGCTCCTCCAAGGTGGTGACTCTTAAATCTTTATGCAACATGGCGTTACTAACGCAAAAAATGTGCATTAATTTATCATCCTTAGGACCCTATTCTATATAAGCTGCAGCTTCTGTAATTCTTTCTTTTTAATAGTACACCATGTTGGTGAGGCATAATTCATGACTGGTCATTATGTAGACAAGTCTTTTTCTCCTGAGATCTAAGTTAAAAAATTTGTTCAGTAGGGGCTTTAAACTGTTGATTATACAAAATGATTTTTTCCGCACATTAATTATATGATCTTTCCATGTGAGGTTTCCGTTTAGGACTACTCCAAGATATTTTGCCTTGGTAACCTGAGGGACAGCTTCGTAAAACAAGTATAGTTTTTTTTAAGTGGTGTCTGTGTGTACTTTCTGTGAGTTATTAACAACTGGGATCCAATTGTCAAATCCACGTGGTGACGAATTATTGTCCACCACCTTTTAGTTTGGACGCCACCGTAGAGACATTAGGATTTTTTAAAGCAGAGAACATGAAAAATGTACAATGCCCTCTCCAGGACTCGAACCTGGGCCTCTGGAAAACGCGCCGAGTGTGCAACCGCTACACCACGAAGGCATGCTGTAAGGAGGGGAATATAGCTTAAACTTAAAATAGCATTGTACTCTGTATAAATGTAAAGGAATCGTGATATTATAATCGTCGAATGAATGACTATTCTCTTTTATCGGAAACTTCAAATTTATATACTTTTCTTTCCACTGGAGCATCAATTTGGGAACACACCAGAAAGAAAGAAACTGCCTTTCTTGGATACTTAAAGTTTTCAGTGCCTAAACAGAATATCAAAACACTAAAATTATTAGAAACAAAATATTAAATTTAAGTTACAGGCTTTTGAGGTAACCGCAAGGATAAAAGTCAAGCTACAAATCTTGTAATTGGATGGCCAAAACAGTAACGAGTGGTGTAATTGTGATGACAAAAGTTTCCCAAAAGATGGCAGATAATTTGGGAAAAGAAGCAGCAAATGGTACTATAACAGCAATAACCTATT